TGGGAAAATTCTACTACCAGTCCTTCATCACCTTACACGAAATAGGGTGAATACATCTCATTAAACTTATTCGCAGACACGCATTCTCGATGCGGTAACAAGACCCAGGACTACTGGATCATACTCTAGTTTATTTAAATTGACCAAAGTTGTGACCAACTCCCCCCCTTTGACCCACTTACCTGCATGTAGGACAAGCATACGTCAGCCAACCAAATCATGGAATGTCCCTTTAGATCGCGAACTGAGGTATAAGCACTAAGTAGGATCTCAGCTGGCCACTCTTTCTCGGTTTAGTATTTTTGGTGAATTTTTGTGAGTAATGGTTTCTGGCTATGACGATGTCCGTCACAGGACGGACGAAAACTCAGCACGGATTGATCGGGTGAGCTGAAGTCTTCTTCGCAAAATTCAACAAACAAAAGCCCAAGGCAACCCTCTTGCAGTATCCGATGCGGCTAATCTACGAATCTCTTCGACCCGCCTTTTCAAGCGAAATGAAAGGTACGCCAGTATTATTCTATTAAGTTGTTCTTAGAAACCCAGCTTCTCTTTATATCTCATAAATGAAAGGTAACCCAGCCTGTAGGAATGATTCTCTTTTCTGATGTTCTGCATCACAAGACGGACACAAGCTTAGCACGTCTTCACCGGAACCGAAGAAGAGTGACGTAACAATAATTATCCACTAAACCCTACACACAATCTGTCAAAAGGCTATCAGCCGTCGTCGTTGTTGGAATCGACCTCCACAATCCTGAATGCCAACGATAGAGTCTTCAGCAGAAGCAGCCGCTTTGTTGATGAGTTCTATTTCAGTGATACACATGGTTCGTTGTATTGATGACACCAATGATGTGTCTAGGAATGTACCTGGCCAACGAATGAGTTCTCAAAATGGAAGAGGGCCTAACGATTTTTGGCCAATAGTGTCCTTGTAATCCAATATTTAATCTCATAAAATAACACGCACAACTCAAGCTTTCCTTCTTACTCATCGTGAACAGACTGGCAATCATTCCAATAGGGTACCAGCCAGAACCGCTGCTTTTCGACGCCAATCAGCCTCTCAATAGCCTCCAACCTCCCTCCATACTCACGCTGCAAGCTGCTTCTCGCCGATATGCCTCGTCGGCAAGTCGTCGAACAAGTGGCCAAGTTTAGGTCGCTTCTTCCAAAAGCATGACCAGCATAACTGTCCGCTTCCCATATATCGGTAGACTCTGTGAGACGCTTACGCTGCCTGTGGGCAAAGAAAGTCAGGCTTCGAATGCCCTCTGATGGATACAACAGTTGGTAGTGGAGATAAGTCTTTTTATATGATTCGTGTTTACCCTGTTTTGTTCAAGAGGATGAAGGATTGGTAGCTGAACTTCCGTTCAAGATTGTGAAATATGGTGAGTACATCTCATAGATATGCTTTAATGGGGGCTCTCGAAAATCTCCTTTACAAAAGAAAAATAACTAATGCCGTCGAGTGTTATGGCAAATACAACTTTGCTTTATCAGCAATCTCCACACAGAGTATGATATACGAAAATGTCTGGCACTCTTTGAAATTCACATCTACCCCGTGACTCGGGAACACGTGTGGCAGTGTGGATTACTGGTTAACTTATCGAGGCTATACGTTGTACTACCGGAAGGCGGGTTCGAGTCCCGTTGGGAGTGAGGAGGAAACCAGTTTAGGCGAGATTGAAATTTCCCTCCACTTCTACTTGGATGAGAGCACCTTCTGGGAGGCAAGGAAATGTGACATTGATTGGATATGCAATCGACTATCAGTCCCGTTGTCACCTCAAATGAAATAGGGTAAATACACCTCACATGCAGGGTCTACTGGTATTTTCGACAACCAACTTATTGACTAAAAGTGAGATTTTCTTACCAGGACCCGATATTGACTTGGACGTTTATT